GGCATGACCAGATAATAGCAAAAACGGGATACCCCGTCAAAATATGGGTGACTGTGACAGAGGGTTATGTACCACATTCTGTCACGTTTGATGTTTGTGAAGTGTTAGCTTGTGGAGATTTAAATGCCCAACGACAATTGAGCAGAGAGAACAAATAACTGGGAGAGACCCAACAGCCAGATTGAGAATAGCTGTATGGAAACAATCCTCTATTGCCATCAGAGAAAGGGAGAAACTCAAGGACAAAACAGGAGAGAAAACAGGAAGCCCTCTGAAATGTGTCAGTTCAAACAAGGTATGGGGATGTGAATGCCTGGATAGAATGGGTCAAATATACCGTCCAGAGTCTCAACTGTAGCTACTGCTATGCTTGTGCCTCGGGATGACCGATTGCCCAGATAGTGCCCTTCCCATGGGGGTGGACCAAAGACTCCCAAGAGATGCGATGTATGATTGCATTGTACCAAGAAAAGACTGCCTGGGGAAATGAGGCCTGTAAGTCACTCTTTGCTGTTTCTTGCATGATAACAATATCACGGTTCCCCCTGCATTCTCTACAGCTATAGGTAACCATACAGCTTGCCTCTCACGGCAGGGTGTGAGTGCTACCTGGCATCTGGGAGAATTTGCCTTGTGCTACCAAGGACTTGATGGGAAACTGCTCAAGACTAGAGATCCCCAGGGCAGATCTCTGGTGGTACGGTGGAGGGAAGATCTGACGGTCCACCCTACCATCTAATTGGGAAGGCACTTGCACACTTGTTCAATTAGCTATACCCTTCACCCTGGCATTTGAAAGAGAAACATCACAAATACCCAGAAGTAAAAGAGGCTTAGGAATATCATTTGATGATAGAGTATATATAGATTCTATTGGGGTACCTAGAGGAGTTCCAGATGAACATAAAGCCAGAAATCAAATTGCTGCAGGGTTTGAGTCACTGTTCTGGTGGGTAACAATCAATAAAAATGTGGATTGGATTAATTATTTCTATTATAATCAGCAGAGATTCATCAATTATACCAAGGATGCGATGAGAGGAATCACTGAACAACTAGATGCCATCAGCAAAATGGCTTGGGAAAACAGGATAGCATTAGATATGATGCTCGCAGAAGAAGTAGGTGTGTTTGTGTGTGTAATACTGAGCAACCATTGTTGCACTCTTATACCCAACAATAGTGTCCCAGATGGCTTGGTAACAAGAGCATTGCAAGAGCTTACCACCCTTGCCAGTGAATTGGCAGAAAAAATAAATAAAATAAAATAAAAAAATAGGCATATTTGCAACATTGATCGTAGTTGTAGGAGTTTTGACAGCCATTGGTTGCTGCATTATCCCCTGTGTAAGAGGACTAGTACAGTGGTTAACTGAAACCGCACTATTGAAACAAATGACCATGGAGCCACCACCTTACTCAGATAAGGTGATAATGAGGAGATGGAAAGCAAAGAAAGCAAAGAAGAAGAAGTCTATCAAATTGCACCTTAGAGAAAGGTTTTGCAAAAATCAACAGTTTATAAAAAAAGAAAAGGGGGGAATTGTGGGAATAGAAATGTTGTTTTTGCAGAGTTACATTGTTTAGAAGGAGGGAATGTGGTACTGAGATATGCTTACAGTGATAAGAAAGTTTAGCAGGCGACCTAGTAAAATGCAGACAACCAGTCTCCTTAGGACAATTAGGTGAAAATCACGGTGTCAAGTCAAGTCAGACAAGTGAAGAAACATTACCACTTCAAGCAGTAAAAATGTCAAAAGAAATTTGAAATTTAACAGGCCGGCAACTGAAGACTATGCATTGTTTGTGAAGCATCAGATAGATTGTGAACCTGGATTACCCACTCAGTGGGGAAACAGGGGAGGGTCCTGCCATCAAAAGGTATATAAACTGTGTTTTGGAACTAGTAGATGCGCTCTCTCCTGCTTGTGGGGCGCCCACCATTGCAATCGCGAATAAATTACTACTTCACTGAGATCCTCGCCTGAGCCTAAGTTATTGGCTACGGAGTGTTTCTCACATATACCTAAATGATCAAAAAAGTAGAGGAATTTTAAAGCAAAATTAAAGTATGTGTATATATGAGAAATCCATTGTAATGCCAGTTACTTCATGCAATGCAGATCATTCCTGCAGCTTCAGTAACTACACACATCAGCTCAGAAATGGAGAAAGATAATTTTCTTTAAAGCAACACTTTGATCATTCTTAGTTTACTTGCAACTGTAAGAGACTACCATTACCTCCCACTGTGCTAATAGTTATGGAGACATATTGCAGAAAGAAAGAGAGGACAAAAGACAATTTTAAAAATAGCTACAAACAATGACAACCTACTTCCATTCTCAAACTGTATTTACAATTCTGAAAATAAATACATTCACAATGCCAGACAAATGAGAAGAAAAAAATAAATTGATGCATTGAGTATGTTACAGTATGCTTACCAAATTTCAACATTTTTTACAGCACATTTCTGGTAATTGAGTAAGCATTATACTCAACACATTATGCTCAGCAGGAACAGCTTTTAAATACCAAGCAAGCAAATTAAGTATCTCTGAAAATTCCACAAAAGGTGTTAGGATGTTGATAGTGACAGAGACTGACATTACCAAGCCATTATCACTGACACATAAACAAACAGGAGCTTCAGTTCCTTTAAATTAAGAGATCACTCCTACTGGAAAGCAAAGATGGTGTTGAGCTGCTTGTCATTCACACATACTGAAGGACGAGGAGAGAAAGCCTATCTCAGTGTTGATATTTACTTCCAAGAACACAAACCCCTGTCCATCTCACTCAAGATGTTCTCAACATTTAATACAATCTGTGCATAAAAGGGAGATGGTGGGGGAGACACTAATATTTTAGGCATGTGTGGGCATTCATGTGTAAGCATATAATACCTTGAATTTCTGAATCAGAATTCTGACCGTTCTTTGCTGGACTGTACAGAGCCTCAAGCTTTTCTAAATTTTCTGTTCATCAACCCATCCTTAAGTGCAATCCCATCACTGGTTTTTAGTTGTGAGGATAATGAGAAATCAAAATGATTTTATGAAGAACTGAAAGGTCACCTAAAGAGAGGGAAACTCTTGTGGCTCTCTTCAATATATTTTCATCAGCTAGTCTTTGCACCTTTCTTTTTATGTACGTTTCCAACAAAAATATAAAGTGACTTGCTCTGCTACAGACAAAGCCTCCCATTAGAGATGCCTGCACTTTCCTTTTGCATCCCCACTTTGCAGGACACCACTCTTAGGAATAAATCTTTCCTGAAGCACATGGTCTCCAAGCTTTCCAGCAGGAATGCAGTTCACATCTCCCCAGTGACTTATGCTCATCACTGTGAGAAACACTCCGTAGCCAATAACTTAGGCTCAGGCGAGGATCTCAGTGAAGTAGTAATTTATTCGCGATTGCAATGGCGGGCGCCCCACAAGCAGGAGAGAGCGCATCTACTAGTTCCAAAACACAGTTTATATACCTTTTGATGGCAGGACCCTCCCCTGTTTCCCCACTGAGTGGGTAATCCAGGTTCACAATCTATCTGATGCTTCACAAACAATGCATGGCCTTCAGTTGCCGGCCTGCTAAATTTCAAATTTCTTTTGACATTTTTACTGCTTGAAGTGGTAATGTTTCTTCACTTATCTGACTTGACTTGACACCGTGATTTTCACCTAATTGTCCTAAGGAGTCTGGTTGTCTGCATTTTACTAGGTTGCCTGCTAAACTTTCTTATCACTGTAAGCATATCTCAGTACCACATTCCCTCCTTCTAAACAATGTAACTCTGCAAAAACAACATTTCTATTCCCAGAATCACAAAAACTAAAACAACACACTTTAATGTGAGGCGTGTGCCTGCATACTTGCCTCTACTATTGTGCAAGCAACTTTTTTTTCCTATTTATTTATTTATTAAGCTAGGGATATGAACATAATACCCCTTGACCATCTCTCTGCTTCTTTATCTTAGCAACTAAAAAGCTATGTTTCATTTGACATCTGCTGGAGATTAAAAAAAAAAAAAAAAAAAAAAGATCTACTAGCTTCTTTCTCCAGTATTTGCTGGCCTAGAAATTAGATATATTATGTCACTGATAATATTGTGAACTCAGCTTCCTCTAGCATTACCAATTTTGTTAGGAAATTCTATGCTGCAGAGTGCTGCTTGGGTAGGTGGCAGCCTGGCAGGAAGTACCACCTGTGGTAAATATGTGATAGCTAGGAGTTGCTATACAAGGTCCCTCATCACTGTAACCACATAGTAGACCTCCCCTTCCCTGAATGAACCTCACCAGAAAAAGTCAATTGGGAATTTATCTGGCAAAGAGACACAGCATCCCTGTACTATATCTGCTATTATTATGCTGATATAGGAGCTCCAAGACGTTTCACATCCTTTCCCTTTTCTATGTTTGCTAACCACGTGGATGGTTCTAAAAGCAACTTATCTCTAGCTAATAAAAATAAATAAATAAATAAGAGGAAAAATTTAAACAGAGTAACTAAAAAGCCCCAAGCCCTAGGAGAAGGAAGCATGCAACACTGTCAGTCTTATAGACTTCATATTTTGTAACTCTACTTGTACAAACAACAGATGAATAAAAAGCTCCATGTAGGCCCACAGTCAAGTTTTTATTGAGTCCCCAGGCTGCAGCCAAGCTACACGGCAGGTGACTCTGGTTGTTCATGCTGTGCAGTCATTATTCCTCTATTCCACATCTTTTTTCCAGCACTGCCTGTATACAATGAGCTCCTGCTCTAACTGTAGCAGTAAGTGCTTTTATTTTTTTATTTTTATTTTTTTTTTGGGGGGGGCGGGGGTGAAAACCTACCTGATTATGCTGCCATCCTCTTCACCAGGCAGAGCCGTGCCTCCTAGTGCTGAGCAACTACACACATAGCTGCAAGTACCAACCACCCTGTCTGCTAAAACATTTTCCCTCCTCAGCTGCAGGTGAACCCTTTCCAGCCAGGACATCACCTACCATGAACTTGTTTGCAGTCCTGTTCCTTTTCCCAAAGAGTTTCAGCCTCACAGTGAGGGAACAGGTACCACAGACACTCAGAAGTGGAACTGATTCAGGGCTGAAATAAAATAGGAATACTTGGACTACTTGAACACTGCAACTTCTTCTTAACTCCTCCTCATATTTCCCAGTGCTTAGACAACAGGAAATCAGGTCATAGTATTGCAGGGCAGAATAACCAGTATTAAGAAATCTCCTTTTCTTATCACCTCTTCTCTCTAGCCCCACAGATGAAGTATGCATTAAATCTTCCATCATCATTAAGCACACACATTCCTTCTCAGTAGGAATGGACAAACTGGGCAAATTAATTTTCTACTCCATTTCTCCTCCCTAACAGTTAAATGAAGGATACATTGGCTGGATCATGGTCTGCACTCAACATCTCTCTCCAGCTGGTGCTAAAAGACTGCTTTCCTCTGCATTCTTTGCAAGCCCACATCTGCAGTCATTGGACGCAGAGACCTCCTGCATGAGCCTGCAGCACAGGACCAGTGCTGCAGGTCTAGCATGCTTCTGGACCAAGCATTTCCCAAAAGAGACTGACAGAACTGTGATGAGCTCTTGCAGCCGTATTTCTGCACTGCATGTTGTGGTTTGATCCAGGGTCCCCTAGTGCTGTCCTCTCCCCCAAGGCCATACTCCTGAAACACTACAGTTGCCTTGGCCAGGACCCTGCCTTGTTGCAGGTTGTTTTTTCCAGCCCTCACTCACCCCACCATGGCTTGTGGACCTTGCTGTATCAGCTGGCAGCAATGTAATTCCCTTGTTTATTCTTTAGGACAGAAACATGTGCATATACAAAGGAAGCAAGCAGTTGTTCAAACTGAAAACACTTTTAAGTGCATGTCTTGCGTCTGCAGTTTAAAACCAGGCTCTGCTACCCAAATTCTACCCCATTTATACCAAAGTTGTGGGTTTGTTACTGTCCAGGCTCAGCATGGATGAATCGAGGAGACAAATCTCAGTGAGCTGGCAACTGGCAAATAAACTTTGGAGAAGAGCAGAGTAAAAATAGTGGAGTCTGAAGGAAGGCCAAACTGCATATCTACTCACTTTGAACTGATACCCTTTAAGCTAGAGGGAACCCAAATGCCTCCTATTAGCATGGCTATTTACACATATCTAAGTAACAGTGGCATACCTCAGCCATGCTCCTTTTCCCACTGCAAAGTCAAACATTCAGAGGATACCTCAGATCAAAAGGCATAGCCACTCACTTGATACGTGTCAGCACATACCAAGGATGCATATGAAAGCATTAAGAGTGATCTGACCCAAGCCAGTAGAGGACAAAGAGTTTCAGCCTGCTTGGCCTGGGTGTGCAAGGCTTGGACTCACCACCTCTGTGCCAGCTTTAAGTGTGAGCCACCCCCTCTGCCCTGTTGTTCCAGCCTGCGTACCAGAAATACCTCCTGAATTGCTAAATGTCAGAAGTCACAGGAATACATGGATGGCATTGGTGGGACTTCTGCAAAAACAAGAGGCTTTTGCCAAAGCAGCTGCAAGGTTTGCCATTTCAGGGAAGTAGCCAGGTTTCTCAGCCAAAAAAAAAACATACCCTGGTTTACCCCAAACCATTGGCTTTAGCAGAACCATACATGGGTTTCTATGTGCTGTCTGGTCCCAAAAAGCCAAGGCAGGGTGTGACAATAATGCAGACAGCTTGGGTGTACCACATTGGTGTCAACCAGACACAACGGGTCAGCATGGTGCTGCAGTTCATGGGATTTTCACAGAAGAGAGTAAAAAGAAAAAGGTTAAGCTACTTCTTGCCATCAGCTGTATCAGAGGGAGGAAACAAAGAAAATATCTGAAAATATTGCATTGTCTTCCTCTCAGGTCATCCTAGAAGGGTCTTACTGAATGTAAATATAAGGGTTTTCTTCTAACACCATGATGCAGAAAATGTTTTGGTCAAGTTGTGTGCACAACAAAATGGACAATTCAAGTCAGAGTTCTATGAAAACCATTGTAGTTTAAGTACCCTCAGTGTCTACTGCTTGAATGCTCCCTTGTTGAAAAGGGAAGGAATTTAGTAAAAGGGTGGTAATTAATTCTTCAACAATAGACAATAAAGAAGAGCTTCATTTTAATAAACACAATAGAACTACTGATTTAATGCAAACATATTCAGAAGATTGGGACACCTTACACAAATTTATACCATAAGCAAGAACAAAACAATAATAACCACCTTCTATAGAAAGTATTGCTTGCTTTCTGGTCATTAATAAACCCCAGGAAATAATAAAATAGATTGTCTGAGGTTTTTCTCCATTTTTTTCACCCAAATTTAAATGCACAAAGGAGATAAATGCCTACTGTGAAACCAAAGCCAAAATTTCATTATGAGCTTACACTATTATAGAAGCGTACTAAGGTCCACCTCCCCACAGAGCTTGAGTTATCCCTTATAATGTTGATAAATGAACAAGAGGGAAGGCTTCTTTCTTTGCCAGGCATTCAGTAAGGACTTTGCAGTCCCTGTGCCTCCAGCCCCAGGCACTGACACAGCCAGCTGAGGTACCTGGTGTGCTCTGCCTAGAAGGCAGGAGCCGTGGCAATGGGAGAATGCTGCAGGGATGCCCACAGTGCTGCTGCCATCAGTCTTTCTCATAATTTTTCAGCCCGAGAATAGCAAATTCTTGGGCTGAAATTGTCAGAAACAGATGAACTTTTCCTCCCCTCTGAGCTGAAGGGGCTGCAGCTCTGTTAGAAAGCAGAGAGTTCAAGCACATGCATCCTCAGCCAGCAACAGTGGTAAACCCCTACCAAAATGACGCTAAATAATCAGATAAAATGTAATTGCAATATTTTCTCATCAAAACCCTTAGCTTAACAGGAAATTTGATGCCATATGGGCACTGAAAATTTTAGAGGTTTGGATTATCCTGTGGTTTCTTTATCGTTGTTTTTTGTTTGTTTGTTTTACCCAAATGAAAAGTAGAAAAAAAAAATGAAGGTTAATAAACAATTTGTCAAAAGTCACCACTGGATGTTTGCCTCAGAATACTCCTTAATACCATCTAAATTACCATCTCCAAATCCACCCTGCAATATTTTCTCAGGATTCTCAGGATTCAATCTGCTCTTTGCCTACACAGCAGCAGTTAGAGTCCAGCTTCATTAGCTGACACTTGAAACCTACCCTTTCCAGACAAACTGAATTGTTTCTTTGTGATGAGCTTCTTTTTGTTGTTGTTGTTTTGAAAGCCAACAGAAGCCACTTTTGTGTAAAGGGGAGGTAGAAAAATTCAGGATCAAAGCAACATGGCAGTCTCTGCAAGGTTGCATGTTCATGGATTTTTCTACAACAATTCATCACCTGTCCCACCACAGTTAGCACTCTGCACACTGTGAGCTTTGATACCAGAGAGCTGGTGATATGAAAGGGCCAAAGGAAGCATTGCTGTGCCCCCGCCTTGCAGGAGGAGAGCTGAGCACAGAAAAAGGGATCATCTGTCCATAAGCACAGTACAAACAAGAGCCAAAACTTGCCAAATTCAACCAACCAACGAACCAACCAAAAAGGTAGTTTGGGGTTGAGTGAATCTGGGTTTAGTTTCTGGTCCAATTTACCAGCGTAAAGCCAACATGAAACCAAGATCTTCCCCAGCCCCGTGGAGGCAGGGTATTGGGTAGATGCTGTGTGGCAGACGAATCAGACCCTTCTCATCTCAAGTGCCTGGGTGGAATAGTACATCTGCACATGCATATCGTGACACCTGCAGAGCAAACGATTTTGTTCAAAGATTAAAGTTTTGTTGTTGTTGTTTTACTCCCTCACACTATTCTTCTCTATTTTCAGTTTCTGCCTCCAAGATTAAATTCTGACATCTTACTTCTGACTCTTTTTTGGTGGTAGATGGTTAGTAACTAAAGCTCGTACCTCAGGGAGGATTCTGGCTGCCCTTCAGGCATAAACACTTAAAGATGCACTTTTTAGGAAACTAGATTACTAACACATTAGTGTGACACAAGCACCAAGCTATGCGTATGCTTGGTGATATGGATTTTAGTCTTACAGCTCATGGATTAACAGAAAATTTACCATAAACAGATAAAAATCCCTAAGAAATTGTAGCTAGCACTGATAGTGTGGAAGAGGGGTTGGAAGAATTCTGGGAAAGTATTTCAACAACTCAAGAAAAATAAATGTATATAGTATGTCAGTCCTGGGACACTTCTAAAGGGAAGTCTGAAGAAAGGCAAAGAGAGATAATTTTGTAATACCATGAGACCCCAAAATAAAGAGCTTTATGGATATTCCTTTGAAATAAAAAACAATCATTCAGTCCAGCTGTGTTCACATCCTTTCTGCCTTCCAGGGTTAATCTGCTGACAAGCTTTTATCTAAGTTTAATGTATATCCAGCTCTCTCTGGACTTTTCCTTTTTATCCGAAAATTAAAACACACTGAGCAAAAAACTAGTGGCAAAAACATATTAGCAGAAAAGCACAATTTCAGTCCTAACACAATTCCCATGGCATTGCCTTTCATTTGAGAAAAATAAAGTGAATTGAATTTTTTTGCCAAAGGAAAATGAGATGAGAGAAAAAAAAACAACCAACCAACCACACAAAAAAAAAAAAAATGCTAATTTGTACCATTGCTTAAAATGCATAAATCCAAGCTGAAAAGTTAAGGAAGAACATCCTTAACCAGAACAAAGGGCATAAAAAACATCAAGATGGCACCAAAAACATACTTTGATCTGGCCTCAACTTTCATTTTTTAATCTGTCTTTCTAAGCCTTCCTGGATTCCTTGATGCACTGTCAAACATAATTTAAGTGTATTTAACTTAATATTTTTTTTTTACTTATAACCTTTCACTTATAGTTTAATTACACTTTTTTTTTCTTTTTACTTATAACCTTTTATTTATGTATTCATTATATAGATTTTTTTTTCTGTGCAAATTAATTTCATAATACATAGCTAGGCAATGGTAACTACAAGTATCCCTCTTCTTCATGAAAAAGAAATATACTTGAGCAGAGTTACTGTCCTTCCACATTTGATTAACCACCAACAACAACTTTTTCATTGGCAGTAGTCACAACATCCACAAATGCCCCACGAGAAAAGGTATTTCACATTTTGAGATTACAAGGAACCTGCTTCCATCTTTATGGAAAACATACAGAGGTGAGGCTAGTTGTCCAGAGGAGCACCAAGAACAGAGAAGGTTTGTGCATGGTTCAAGGAAGGCTATGAAGGAATGCTGCCTGAAGACAAGGCTGAGTCCACCAAGTAAAGAGCACCTCTTCCACAACTCCCAGGAGGTCCACAGGAAGGGGTACACACAGGAAGTGGCCAGAA